TGTCTGGCAACCGTTCCAAAGCTACCCAAACCATCCGAAACACCTGTAGGTTCAAGCATTCTTCTGAAACTTCCCGAAACCCAAGTTTCTGAAAAAGTTTCTTCGCATCATCAGTGCATAATGTTGATCAGCAAAATGGATAATGCTTTCTTATGCTTTGGTTATCTTGCAGCCTTCGACGTTCAGCTGCTTAGGCCGTGATAGACCTGCACATCCAGAATGGGCACCTACAGCAGCAGAACAGGGAACTGCAAGTCTGTTGGGCTGGTGCTCGGGCACGTGGTGTCTTTCAAGCACCAGGGAGAGCAGGCGAGGCCCGGGGAACAGGCGACGCCCCAGGAACTGGCCAGGCCTGAACCACCCGAGCTGTTCCTGATGCCTCTCCGCAACATGGAACAGCTTATGCTGCAGAAGCGCAGCTGAAGAACTTCACCAACAGGACACTGCCGGTATTTATGTGTCCTCTTTTTCACAATATTGACGGGCATAAGGCTACAATTCTTACTTTGTGGTTTAACTTGGGTTATCTGAAGATTTATGCAAATGGGATTGGAATGTGGACTGAAGCCTTTTACCGTAACATTTCAAATGGATGCCCACCCAAACTATGTTTTAAGCACGGTCGGTGGCAAATCAAAAATGAGTAAGTTGCCCTACCTTCATTACGGGCCTTCTGTTATTTATAACAGCAGAGTGCATGCACAGCCAATGCACAATGGAAGGCTATTTATTGTAAGGGGTACCCTTAAACTGAACCGTGCGATAGAATTGTGTCAAGGTGACGCAACGCCAGTTGCACGTTTTGTAAGTCAGCTTTAGTAGCCTGCGTAAACTTTTTGCAATTGTTAAACTGCGTTTCATAGAGGCTACTGAAGGGAGAAATGATGGACGGTGGCCACCAAAAATTAAATATTTGTGCATCATTACATTTTTGAACAGTTCTTTCCACCCGAAGGTCGTGTAGACAAGAGGCCTTCATGTGCATCCTCATTGAACGGCATTTTATGTCTTTTTCAACTGCCGCTTCTTGAAATATTTTTAAGTAAAGCATTTCACAACGGGGGAAGTAAAATCGCCCAACATATATGCCTTTGGGTGCTTACAATATGTCGGCCTGCAAATAATCATAAATCATGCTGATTTGCTACGACACTTCTGCCCGTTATATCCTTAGAAGTTAAATTCCGCACCTGCAACAACTCTCGCCGTGAGTATGTGTGCGGAGCACACACAAACCTGCCTGCGTGCTTTTTGTGTTTAATGCTTGCTTGACAGAAGGATCGATATGCTGTAGTATATATTGGGCTTCTTTTGGTTTTGTTCCTGTTCTCACTTGAGGCTATAATCAAGAGATCTAAATATTTAGGGCAATAAATTCATTTGTGCTTTCGGCATCTGCTACAGAAGTAAAGGTACATGCTTGAAAATAACTTTTAGCCTGGTCTAAAATCGCTTTTGAGCGTGCCCACCATATGCGTATGCCCAAACAAATTTGTAAGGGGTTGCCAGATAAATCTTAATTAATTCCATCTTTACATTAGTAGTGCATTTCCAAAATGAGATGGTAGCCAGTCCTAACCGAAGGTCACCCTATGAGAGGAAATCAAATTTTCCAAGGTGAAAGAGTAACTGTCATTGCATCCGCCACTTTATTCAGGGGGTGTGAGTGCATGCGTAGCTGTGTCTCCAGGCATAGCATACGGTAGTCGCGCAAGCGATTATTACCTGAGGCGAGCTTGAGCTGAGTAAGTTAGTTCATTGGCCTACAGGGCCACAACTGAGTCAGCACTAAACAAAAATATGGAAAGGTAACTACTCATACTGTGCTGCTGTTGCCATTTTTTGCAACTATGATGACGGTTTTGGTCAATTCCTGCCTTTTTATGCCTTTTTCAATTCCAGTCTTTGTAAAGTCGTAAAATAGGTGATAAATTTGTAGGGTGACTAGCCGGCAGCTAGACTAAGCTTTAACAAAGTCAAGATGCGCAGGGTCTTGAATGCACTTTTTTGAGAACCACATACATTATTAAAATTACTGAGTGGATGCTGATGGGCAAAGAGGATCTGTCAAAACGTTTGCACAATTTGAACGTTGCAACGAATTTGACTGACTAATGAGATTTAGCGGAGTATGGAGGGGAATATTTTAATCTTTCTGGTTTCGTCTAAGACAGGTAGAGATGCCATATATTCTAATATTTTTTATTCTCTCTCTTGTAAATATTGTAACATTTTGATGCATGTATAGTGTGGCTTGCTGCATTTACCTGGGCATTCACATTCTCTTACTTGAGACATGTTCATACCATTGTATCTGCATATAAATAACTTTATTGACATATTGAGAACACATTTTGTCTTTCTAGCAGGAGCAGCTCGTGTCTCTAGGAGACAGCAAGAACCTGCAGAAGGTGGTACGAGAGATGGTGGGACGCCTGTTCTCAAAGCAAGTCCAGGAGCAGTTCTCCAGCCCTTCTGGGCTACCAAGGAAAGTCAAGGTTCAAGGACGCCATGATGTGTAAGGTGGTCATCGGTAATGCATATTCTTTACTAGCTATTAAAATGATGGTATCTCTATTGGAGCTCAATAGACAAGCACAATCTTTGAAACAGGTTGACAATTAAAGGGAAACTGAAACACTTTTTGACAAAAAAACGAGTTATAGGTGACTTCTGGCGTATTTTTGTCCTGTGAATCTGAATATCACTTTCGTTTTCCCCGAAGGTGTAACTAGACGCGAGAAAACACGAAAAGCCTCAGAGCAGTCGTGACGTCGTACTAGGATCTTTGGGGCGCCAAGCACGTGTCGCTCGTGTGGGCGGCGCGTGCAATTGCAAGCTTGCCAGTTGTATTTTTCCACACTGATGCCAGTTGTGGCGTCTATTTCTGACCTTTTTACAAATACAAGAGTTCACGTGCATAGGTTTGACAGGAGCTGAAGATGAGCGAGAGCAGAAATTCCGAAAACTCCCAGCATGACGTCACGCCCCGGGAAGGAGGGGCTTCAGCTGTACTTTAGAAATTAATTTCTGCAGCCTCCGTGCACCAGATTGAAAAAATGAACTCGATATTCGTGATCCTGGATGCCATATCAAGACGATTTTGGTGTTCTTCCTCAAATACAGAACAGCTTCAGTTTCTTCTTAAGTCTTGCAATATGCAAAATTTAAGTCGTCAATTCCTGTCGTTATTTTTTTTTTTTTTTTTAAATTTGACTTGCATTTTTTATTATGAATATCTCCTGTGTTACCATTCTCGGAACCTTCATACTGAAAAGCAGCGTCTTGAAGGAACTGTGAAAAAAGGTTTTTGTTGCTCTTGTCTTGTTATCCTGTTAGTTTCCAGGTTGAAAATCTAATGACGACCATTTAGAGGCCTTGGTCTGTAGAGTGTCAGTTGGGGAAGTTTTGCTCTTTTTTTAACCACTCATCTCTGCACCCCACCCCTTCTCGCCCTTGCCCCGTCTCGCCCCCCATTTCAGATTAATAGGATGTTGCGTGAAATAGCCATATGCCTCCATAGAATCTGCACCTTAGCGTGGTAGCCAAACGCACAATCTCCACCTCTGTGGTGCTCTCTTTCTGTCACCTTTGAATTGCAGGCTAAGTGAGGGACCTATATTTACACAAAGTAAACGCTCACAAACTGCAGTGTGTGAACAGCACCTTGTGTGTAGCTAATATGCAAGATATTGGCTTCCCCTATCCTTCAACTAATCTGTGTGATCTGACAATTCTCTTTACAGGTGCCATACAAAGTTGCACTCGTGCAGCGTGGACGCGGTGCAGAAGTGGCTGACGGGCAGGGAGGCGGGCAAGGGCAATAGAGTTAAAAAGACGGACACTCCACTGGTGGTTCCAACCGCCCTTGACGATGAGGGACACTCTGGCTGAGGAGCTAGCTGCTATGGATGCACGAGTCACAATAAAGAATGTCACGGTAAAAAAAAATTTGTATGTTCCCTTCTTGTACTACCCACAATATGCATCTGGGCGACAGATGAATGGGACATGTCGTCTCAACGAGTATACAGTAATTGCCATGAGTATACTGTATACATGGAGAAAGTCAATTGTTCACACAGAATTGTTTCTTAAAATTGCACAAATACTAAACCGGCTTTTTTCAGTTCAAGTCCAAGTTCAAGTGGGTACACTGAATAACGCATACGCTGGTGCTGATCCGCAATTTCGCAGGCAATGACCTGCAATTATGCTGGCACTGATCTGTTTTTACGCTGGGACTAATCCGCAATTGGACTGGCTCTGACCCGGAAACACGCTGGCACACTGATGGTTTCCTACCGTACCACCGGTTCCATGCCGGGGATCTGTGTCGGGAGCTCGCTGGGAACATCCCGTATTCCCGGCATCCCGGTTTCCCAATAAGTTCCCAGTACCGGCCGGATTCCGGCATTGGGCCCGGCCAATGTCGCCCCTTGGGGCGTTTCCGGTACTGGCCGGTATCGTTATCCCGGCAGGCCAATACCGCCCCATCCCCAACCCGGCGTGTTGTGCTACTTGGGGTAGTGCGTTCGCAATTGCGTTAAAAAACATGTTTTACGATTGCCGTTATTAAATGTTATAGAGATGTCGCCTACAAAGCTTCTAAATTTCCTGATTTTTGACGTCACCGATCAAAAGAAGCGAGGAGGCGAGAGGCGGGAAAATCAAACGCCAAAAATAAAAAGGCGCGCGCGCGCGCGGGAAATTTTTTTTTTCGCGATGCGGTTTTTTTTGCGTGTCTATGACTGCAACTTGCATCGTTTTAGACAATAAAAATAAATACGACCTTTGGGGTGTCAGTGCCCCTTTAAGCTTTGTGACATTGTGTCTAAAGCTCAAAGAGTCGCATTCTTGGATCGCAACTATCGCCAATTGCGACCGCCCTGTACTGACGACAAAGTGGCGGCGCCCAGAAGGCAATCAAGGAATAGAGTGTCCATACTAGGAGCATATCGAGTCTTTCTTATTCTGACCCGGCAGACGGGCGAACTCACTTGGTGGTGCAGATGAAGGCGTCTTCGGTCTCCTGGCACTGCTTCGACTGGAAGTTGAAGGCGAAGGCCAGCGACCCGTTGCCCTCGGCGTCGTCGTTCACCTCCTTGCTCAGCTTGCACACGTTGGGCCTGGACGAAAGCAGAAGGAAGGTTCTGTCAACAACAGGACTGTGGACGGGTCACGCAAATCGCCTTCTCGGAGCACATATTGTGGCGTTCAGACGAGGTAGCGGAGAGGTTAGAACTCGCTCTTTCGAAAGACGTGCAACCCCGTTTAATTGCGCTCACAACTTACTTGTACACAAAACGCTGTCAAGTTTAATTGACGTCATATCGACTGTGCAACAGAGATGCATATAAAAAAGGACTGTCACGCGCTGCTCTTTACATGTTCATGTCTGCATTCAAATCCACAGCAAATCCAATTAGCGTATTGAAAAACCCCTGAGTGGATGTGCCTTTTTTAATGACGACTTCTGAACATGACTGCAGTTATCCCCCATAACATGCATCCAACTCTCAATCAGGGATCTCAGACTCACAGCTCCTTCTTAGACTTCTCAAAGGCATTCGAAAAGAAGTCCCATAAACTTATACTATACAAGCTCAGTGCTGTCAATATTGATCCCAATATTTTATTTTGGTTAGAGCGTTTGCTAACTAACCGATCACAACTTGTAACAGTAAATGGCAATGACTCTTTACCTGTCAGTGTTAACTCCGGTGTACCAAAGGGCTCTGTCCTTGGTCCTTGTTTATTCCTGATTCATATAAACGACTTCCCAACTCAAGTTCCCTCTTCTATATAACTTATTTCTTGATGACTGCGTCGTTGGTCATGAAATCACCAACATTTCGGACGTTCACATAATTCAATCAGACATTAAGGGTATTAAATAGTGGTGCGATTCTTGACAAATAAAATTGAATACTAGCAAGTGCAAGGCAATGAGAATCGCCAATTAAACCACACCCTGTCTTTTCTACCATTTGTCAGATAATCACCTTGAAATTGTATCATCTCATAAATACCTAGGTCTCCACATTGCATCTGACTTATCATGGAAATATCATACCGAATATGTTATAAGCAACAGTAATCGGATGTTTGGATACATAAGACGCAATTTTTCTTCAGCCCCATTATCTTTAAAATTATTACTTCATAACACTATAGCACGCAGCAAACTCGAATGTGCATGCTCAGTCGGGTATCCTGGTTTAGAACTATCTATATCAGTTCGTGAAGCCGTTCAAAACCGGTCAGCTCGTTTCATACCCTCGAACTACCATCGTATGTCGAGGGTCACGTCAATGAAATGCAATCTCTCATTACCCCTCCGTTATATCCGGCGCATGATCTCTCGTCTATGTCTATTTCATCAAATATATTACAATAATTCCAGTCTAAAAGCACAACTAATTAATGATCCAATCTATATATCTTCACGCCTCGACCATAACAGCAAGGTTGACATAGCCATATGTAACAGTACCTCGATCTTTCTAGGGTTCTTTCATCCCCAAAATCTCCTGTGATTTAAACCGCCTTCCTCTTCTATAGCATCCATCAGTTATTTTATTAGGTTTAAGGGTGTACTTGCTCATTAATTTTCGTTTAGAGCCTGTATAACTACTTTTAATTATCTTTGAGTTCCCAAATCACCACTCCCATGCTTCGGCCATGATAGTATAATACATAAATAAATAAATATATGACAAGTTTACTGAAAACTCTGCTGTATGTGAAGGTACCACATCCTAAAATATTAGATGAGCTAGTTGGTTTAACATATTGAATTGAAAAGCGCAATGGACAGACGCGGACATGAAGTAGCGACGTCCTGTCTACTTCATATCCGTGTCTGTCCTTTGCGCCTTTTAATTCAATATCACATCCTAACACAAAAGAAGTGCTAGAGTAAACAGGAGATATTTTGATAAGGACAATTGGGTAAGAATTTTTCCATTTGCGTTCTTTAGTCTTATTTTTTTTAATCGTTTTACATGATTTTACAAAATCTACGTGCCCTTTCAGTTTGACCAGAGTGGTTATTATCGCCATATGATCGCCACTTAAACTCGCTGTTGTAAGGTCATTTTTCATATGTTGAAGTAGTTTGCTATAACTTGACATTAATTATCATTTACTCTCATTGAAATATCTTAACGACTGTTTCTGGACTTCGGGAACCTGGGTATTTATTACGCGACATCAACACAGAATATAATAATATTTTTCCTCCGATTTATATCCATTGATGATACAAAATCGATGTGTTTCCATAGTGAAAAAGCCATTTGTATGAGATATTTCTTCTGTCCAATAAACACATATGTTTCATACAAGATATATAAGAACATATAATAACCACATAAAAATTACATAGGAACTATATAAGAACTATATCAGATATATAAGAACATAAAAGAACAATATAATAAACTTTTCACAAATGTCTTATATGGTTCTTATATGTTCTTTTATATCTTGTATGATTCATGTGTCTTCATTGGACAAAGAAATTTCTCACACAAATAAAATTTTTAAATAGGGTTACGCATCTAGAGTTGTAAAGGCTTCCAGCAGATAAACAAAGCGCCCTAAATTTTTAAGAATGCTCAACGCGAAGTATGCTAGAAACGTTTCATTGCACGCAAAAATATTCTATCCGAAGGATCGTTAAAATCAATTCATATTACGTTCCCTTTATTTTCAGGACCTTGGGCATTCCCAGAAGATTCGTTTGTGAGTTATAATGTTCTAATATTGTTCAAAAAAAACATTTTTTGTAAAACCGAACTGGAATACGTTTTTTGTCTTCCTTCCTTCCTTCCTTAATTTATACGGGGCAACTGCAATACATGCAAAATTTACACGTGGTAAATATAGTATGCTTGTGCTCATGAAACACCTAACCGTCTTTAGGATCTAAGAGACTTAATAAATGTTATTTTTACCAACATCTTCAAGCATTCAGTGAAATAATAATAATAATAATAAAGCATTGTTATTATTATTCTTATTATTTTATATATTCGTTTATCTGCTCGTTTTCAGCTCAAGAGCCGTGGTGAGAAAAGTCTGACTCTTAGTGGAGCATTACAAATTTTCGCCTTTATGTAGATAATTAAGATATATGTAGTTGAATTTTAGATTAGCTATGTGTGATCTTATCAAGACGTACACGTTTCCAACGCCAAAATCGTCGCTTCTACCTCCGACAATCCAATCTCGTAAGAACCACCTTGCGCGGAGTATGTTGTACCCCACTCCTACTTGGGCCCTCAATGGCCTGTAGTATCCTATAAATAAAAATGTAATAAAAAAATTACAGTTTCTTGCTGGCCGGCACGAAATCGACGCATTGTTTGAGACCTCGATGACTTACTATCGCCGGCTGACAGCCGAATTCGGTTGTTAGCAGGGCACGTTTGACGTGCCAGTAGATTTCTTCTAAGATCTTTCACTTCCGTGTGCAAGTAGACGGGCCCACTCTCGAACTGCAGCGACTATTTGCAAAGGCTATGCGTTTATACGTACAAGCCTCGCTGACGAGCCAGAAGACAAAAATGTTAAGTTGCCTCTTTTGGCCTAATTTATTTAGCATCGCACCGTCCTCGCTGTTTTTAAATGTTGTGTTTGCTTTGCAGCCACTCCTAAAAGAAACGTAAACAGCCACACTAAAAGGCATTCGCAAAGTACGTCCCTTGACATGGTTTGCCGGAAATAACCTGCACAAACCCTGCCACGGAATGAGGGCATCCTGTCACGAAGTGTAATCTAAACACTGACAAAAAGAAAGGTGTATGGACTGTTCTTCTTGCAACGCTGCTCTTCTTTATCGTTCATCTTTGAACAGACCCAAATCTCGGATCCGCCTGTACCCGAACCGATTTGGGACGACAATGTCCCTGCTGGATTGAGACGCGTCTTCCGAAGGCATCGGGATAGAGGACGCAGCTCGACACGGCCGCACGCGCTGTACCCCGGCAGCAGCAGCTCTCTCGTTCATTTGCAATGCAGAGCGGGGATCACTGTTCGTCCCCCGAGAAGAACTCCGACGCCCCTGCAGATCGCGGGCTCCGTCAACGAGGAGCAGCACGAGAACACGATCTGCGTCCGCGACGCGCTGTCGCTCATCCGAATCCCACAAGGCCGAGCGTGATACATCCGATGGGCGCCAGCAACACGGAACGCGACTTTACATAAACAGCGAGGGAACGGCAGACTTTCGGATCCCACCCCTTCATGCGCGCCTCTGGAACCACTTAGCGAGGCTACGTATTCGGTACACGGACGGAGTGATTAAAGCTCAATTATCGGGGCTTGCTGTTGAGTCGCGTAGCGGTGCCAAAGGCGTGTGCTTGCGCAGCGGTTTCTTTCGAGAATGGAAGACACCCGCGCGTTTATTCTCTGGTATGACGCACAAAGAGTCAAACACGGTAATCAACGAAGGTAACTCTCATAATGATCAAGTGGAAAAATATTTTTCTTTTTTGTTTTAATAAAATGTGCGCGTTCAGCGCTTTGCCATCCGAGGGCTCAATCGAGGCTACCATCGACGTCTCATCTGCCCGTGCGCTACAAAAACTGTGATTGAAAGAAGGCTATTTAATTCGAGCCGTTCTTCGCCCATCTCTGGATTACAGCGAACACCGATGGTGCATTTTACGGGACAATGAGATACATTGAGTTTAGTTTGTTTGCGTACAAGAAATCTGCGAATAATGCTGGGCCATTCCAGTTGAGTCTCTGCTAGCACACCTGTCATTCTGAGCGTGCAACTAGTGACGGGGTTAAAAGTCACTGCGTCACTTTTCTAACGGTGTTGCACCGCTATTCACTTACCTCAGCTTTTCCCTAATTCACTGTATGGGTCTACTCAATCTCGGTAAACTGTTTCACTGAGCACAATGTAAGCTTATGATAAGATCACGCGTGTAGTCACTGCACCAGGAGTGGCAGAAAAACTTCATAAAATCTCGCAACAAATTCGTTTACCTCTACGAAGCTCCAAAAGTACGTGAAACGTGTTTTGTTTTAACACTCTGATCATGCCACATACGACGAACAAGTCTGGTTTTCCGTCCACCCGCATTCCAGATAAAGTCGACGGAAGCAACTGCGGCACCGTCATGGCCGCCTTCGGTGCATTACAGCTGCATAACATGACGCCGCGAGGTGAAACAATTTCCCCCTGTTTATTGCCAGCTTCGAGAGGACAGTGAGTTCGCACGTTTCCCGAATTAGAGGCGGCTCCGCGCTTGCCCCGCCGCCTTACAAGCCCGCTTCGGCGGTTCGCAGCGATTCGTGGTACTCATCAGCGCCCGAGGCCAGGTGCCCCGCCCACCCCTTCGTGAAAAGGCGTCGAAAGCAGAGCCCTGTCGTTCCGACGCGAGACCTAATGGTCGTTTCATCATACTGCGCATGCGTTGACACCGTCCGCCGTGCTGCCTCGTGCCAGGCGGAATCAGGAACAAAGAAACGGGAAATCCGGCTGGGCTTTACCGATGGCCCGACAGGTCGCGACGTCGTGGACAAAGGACTACTGCTCGTCCGCGTCGGTCGGCGCGTCGTTGGCCATGAAAAACAAGCGTCTATTTGGGACGTCCCAGAGACAACTCGTGGCAGTTTGCGAGCGCGCGGAATCACTCGACAAAACTGTTTAAGTATCAGTCGACTGGAACGAGTCCACGAACTAAACTCCCACACGTGCGCTCCGAACAAAGCCCGATTGAGCATCTACACCCCAACAGAGCATGGCGAAGACATGCGAACGCGGTTATTAAGTTAGACATTTCAATGAATGGCGAGACCGGGAAAAAAAGGTGCGGAGAAATGGAAAAGTTATATTTGGGCTGAGGCATCTAATACGTAATGTAGCACGTTCCATGTCCACGCACAGACGCTGTATTTAGGTCAAAATTATACGGAGCGCAAGTTCGTCTGCTTCTTGCGCAGTAGTTGCGGTGACGTCGGAACGCCAAACTCTTATTCGCTGATTGAAAAAAAAAATAGTGGGTAGACCTCGAGGCATCTAGCGTTGAGGTCTACCCACTATTCCCCAATCAAGGCCAATCAGAGCTCGGCGTCGATCTGACGTCACCGCAACTCCGGCACAAAAAGGAGACGACTTGCTCTCCGCATAGTCTGTTGCAACCTAAGATCTGTAGAAGCTCCGCCTCCAGCACCCACTCCTTGCCTTCCGTCGTGCTTTGGTTGCCTCACGAGACACCCAAGTGTTATCGAAGGTAGAAAACTAGCGCCGTATGGGGAGCTTGTACTGCAGATCTGATGTACCAACTTGACGTCCTATTAAGCGCGATCCAAACCAACGCTTCTTTTTGCGCCTGCAGGTCGTGCGGCTGCGGATGTGACGCATTTCGTGGCGTTTTTGCTGTTTCCGGGCGCGCTTTCTGAGTCAGAACCGTGCGCTTTGGTTTGGACGGGCGAAACTTCGGGCGAGCGCGCACGCGCGCACGCAGGCACGAGCGCACAAGCAAAGTGCAACTGCGACCGAATGGCCGGCCAGACGGCGAGAGAAAGAGAGAGAGAGAGAGAGGTGGCGTTGTCGCGTTGGAAGAGAATAAAAGGGGGGGAGGAGAGGGCAGCCAGACGGCGAGAAACGCGGAGCCGGCACTAGCTTGCCCTCCACCGATTGGCCGGGACACAGGAGCGCCCTACTACGTCACCGCGCGTTTTTGTGCGCGTTGAGAAAGAAGTTGAAATCAACCAACTTTCTTGTGCGCGCCCGGAAGGAGCGAAGAAGCGGCGCGACGTCACGAAAATACGTCACATCCGCAGCCGCACGACCTACAGACGCAAAAAGAAGCGTTGGTTTGGATCGCGCTTTAACGGTCACTGTGGTGGCCTTGCTGCTGTGCGCGTACCCTCTGCATCAGGCATTCTCAGTCACCGAATTTTCACTTTTTGACAAGTAGGAAGAAGTCATGACCGTACTAGCATGGTGCGATGATATCATGTGCAAGCCACCCATAGAGACTAGTGAATAGCAATTCGAACCAAAAATTACCGCCCACGGATTCTTAGCTTCTTGACGCCGTCGCACAGGACGGCGTCCAATTTCTTCGAAGTTAGGGGACGCTACAGATGACTGAGTGCTACTCGGCTCGAATCACTGTTGTGACCGCCGGGGTCCAAAAACAACGTCGGAACAACGTCGGAACAACAAAGAGCGTCCACGGTACTGTTTGAACCTCTGCACCAAATGGGTCAGCGTGAGGATCCATCTGTCCTCTGCTACTAAATCAACTAACTTAGTAAGAACGCCCAAAGTCTTCGAAGTACCGCTTTCCGGCAAACATCAAAGGGTTCCGGAAAATCAACAATCTTCAATGGAATCTTAGGAGACTGGTCGGAGACTTGGGTTCTGATTACCTATACTTTAGGGTCACAAAATATAATTTTTGACGAAGAACGGTTCAGCGGGATTCAAGCATTGTTGTACGTGTAGAACGAACAGCTAGCACGGGCAAGGCAACAAAGCAAGAACGACGGAACACATCTATCTTTAATGGCTCGCATAACTGGTCAGCTTTGGCAGTTAATGTGAGTGTAATATTACAGAAGTGTAACTGCGAGAAGACATTTTCTTCTAATCAATGTAAAAAAACGGTCGAAAACGTCTGAGTGTTTGTTTTTTATTTATTTATCGGGGCTTTTTTTATATTATTTTTTTGCGTGCAGCGATTTGCGCGCCGCGATTTAGAACTTGCAACCCTCGACGGATGAAGTTTTTAATCAGCACCATCTTTGTAAAAATAATTTGTTAACAGCGATCTCCAATCTATCCTCGAACAATGTTTTGAGAACAATTTTTTAACTGTCACCAACAACTTTACCAACCCACAAAAGGGTTTCGTCTCAGTTTTAGATAAACCAAATGAAAGGTCTATCAGGATTATTTCAGGGATTTAGAGACCATAATATGTCGTGTTTAGAACAACAGTACGTTAAAGGTTATTTTATAGAAAGACAATCGCAACTGTGAGTTGTAAATTAGTGCCATAACGGGAACTTCAAGGCGAGCCCAGCGACATGCTTTTATAACCTCATTTGTAGTCTTTCTGTGAATTCACTCGTTATACTTACAGTTCCCGATCAAAACAATAATACGTCTTTCAAGGGTTTGTTTGGTCTGCTTCCTTCTCGTAGAATAAGGAGCTCTGAAGTAAATTCCTGGCCACTCATTTCTAAATTGAATGGCGTTCGAGGACATCACGATGGAAGTTAAACAAGCTACGTGGTTCCGAGTACCGCCGGGAACACTGACAATGACGAAAATATTAAATGTATTATATTAATAAAGTTGGGAAACCCAGAATATGCAGCGTGTCATGAGCTGTATATCTGATCTGATTTTCTGAACTCGGCAACCGGCTAAATTCTGCTGAATTTAACTGAACGCGTCAATTAAGTTTTCTCGCAAACTATAGGTGTATATTATTTATACACCGAATTAATATCCCAGCAACGTTAAGCTGTGAAACGCTTTCCAGAATATTTCACAAGACGGCACTCTGGTAAATTCGGAGTGTTACACTTCTGCGTTAGGCTTACGCGTTACACTTTTTCGTTTCACTCGTTTGGGGACACTTTCTCTGTGAATCCCTAGTCCTGCACACATTTTGAGTAGAAAGGAGAGGATTGAGGCGCTCACCCTTTGTACCAGGGCTGGAAGGAAGGGAACCCGAGTCCGAAGAAGTTGCCGAGTCCGTCGTGCACCCAGGGCCGGTTGACGAACACGGCCGTGGCGCTGCCGTCGTCGTCCCAAACGGCGCCTCCAGCGGCGCCGGCTTCGGGATCGGCCTCGGAGCCGCCCGAAGGAAGACCCTCGTCGCGCTCCGGAGACACCAGGGTCGACACCAAGGGCACGTGGCCCACGTGAGGACGGATCCTGGGCGAGAAAAAACAAAACCAAGGGACGGTTAACAACGGTGCTAGCGCTTATAATATGGGGGCAACAAATGTTGAGTCACTGCGCGCGGCGTCTGACATCCCGCAAAAGAAAGTGCCTGCGCATGCTCAGGGAACGTTCCATATCCCGGCAGTCTAATATAGTAGCGCACAGATGACGACAAACCAGCCAAGCAATCCACTGTTTTACTGTACATTTCTCCTTCGTCAGCGCCTGTCCCCGAATGTGTGTGTTTCTCCGACTTTGTCCCGTCCTTTTTGCGTTTTTTTTTTCATTGTGACAATTATTGTAATGGCCTATATCTTCACTACAGCCACCGAAGGCAGTCCTTTGGTTTTGTGCAACTAAATCGTCATACGTGGAATACGTTTTGGGTGGGAAAATGTCGATGTAAGCTTTGATGTACCGATACTGCGTCTTGCGACTATAACGCCATTGGTTGTCGCTGGGGTTACACGATCGCTACCTCCAGTACTATGAACCACCCTAAAACGGCGGTGGCATGCTATACAGGGTGTTTTTCGAAACGCAAGCCAAACCATTCCTGCGAAAATTACGGATCGCACAAAAAATATCCTTTTTCGCGTATTACTTTTTTACGTAGCCAGGAGGGGCCCCATGGGCCTCCCTGGCTACGCGCCCGATATATATATATATATATATATCAGGCACGTAGCCAGGAGGGCCCATGGGGCCCGGCCCCCCCCCCCCCCCCCCTGAAATCTCATTTTGCTGAAGCCTCCTCTCCCCCTTCCCCTCATACAGCAATTTGTCATGGGTGGGCCCCTTCCACCCCCATATCCGAAACAAAATCCTGGCTAGGTGCCTCATATATATATATATATATATATATATATATATATATATATATATATTTATATATATATATATATATATATATATATATATATATATATATATATATATATATAAAACTGAGAAGAAAAAAAACCCTTAGTGAAAACAGCAACAACGGACGATTTATCCTTCAAAATGGTGGATACTTGGGCTAGTTGGTGGTTGCTATACATAATTAAACAGCGCACAAGGAGAGGGACAGAAAAGGAAGACAGAACAGGCAAGCGCTGACTCGCAACTGACGATTTACTATGAAAAGGAGAAGGAAGAAAACTGTTCTGTCTTCCTTTTCTGTCCCTCTCCTTGTGCGCTGTTTAATTATGTATGATTTATCCTTCGACGTTTCGGCCGGAGTCCGGCCTTCGTCAGGAGTCCGGCCTTCCTGACGAAGGCCGGACTCCGGCCGAAACGTCGAAGATTAAATCGTCCGTTGTTGCTGTTTTCACTAAGGGTTTTTTCTTCTCAGTTTTATACCCACGCCTTCGGCCTCCCGCCACCATGCCCGTTATATATATATATATATATATATATATATATATATATATATATATATATATATATATATACCGGGTGTTTATGCGCAGACTTTCAAGACTCCTAAAAATTAGGGCGATTGAAAAAAGAAGAAACTCTCTTTGGGAACAAACTACCAGCCACGACGGAAGTCAGGAATTGCCAAAAACCTACTAATTAGCCAGATAATTAATTAAAACTTGTTAATCAACTATTTAATTAGGGGGAATAGACATATGGTTCCAATTAGAAAGTTGCTGAGCGTTATCAAAAACCACTAAATCAGTCATTTTCAGAAAGACTTTGAGCGCGTGAGACGAGTAGTAGCGCACTGAAGTTACCACTCGTGGAGCGGGTACAAGGCTTTTTAGGATTTTCATTTTTTCTCGGGTAATTAACTTTTAATTGCACAGTTTAAAGGTATGGTTTCAATTATAAACTTGCGGAGCACCATCGAAAATTATTAATTCGACTCATTTTGGAAACATACAATGCACGTCAGCATTTTACAGCGTTCCAAAAAAGCGTTAATTTCGAACGTCACTTCCGTCGTGCCGTCACGTGACAACACGACGTAAGTGACATAACTTGACGCGATCACGGGGTTGGTTCCACATGACCGCCGGCCGCTAAATTTAGCGGGGAAATAATACATATCATGTTATAGGCCCGTAGCAGCGCCCATTCCATGCAACGTCCGTCATTTCTAGGTCGCGTTTCCACCGTGTGTAGCATTGCGTCCTTTCAAACGCTCTGCTAGTGCGAGTGAAACCATGCACATATGCTGAGAGACGCTGACAGGCGCTAGTTTACGCCCGTGGAAGGTGCGTGATGGAACGCTAGGACGCCGCTCCACGTCAGCATTAAATGGTCGCGTCCCACGAACGATAGCAGAGGTGCATCTCAACTTCCTCTGACCGAGAGAAACAGGCCTATAAGATCCCTCAACTCCGCATCCTAAACTTACAATCCTGGTGATTCATTGTTTTTCTATTAGTAACTGGAAAACAATGGAAGCACCTGCTAAACGCACCTGCAACCGTGATGAGCACTCGCAAGAGTCAATTCGTTAAACCTTCTCTCTCAAGTTGTGGAAACCGGCGGAAACGTAGCTCAGCAAAATCTTTTCTTCGCAGGACTACTCGCGCGCTGCTAGAAATCACTTTCTAAAACCACGCCCTCGTTTTCCTGTTGCCTCTCAAGGCGCTGCACAACACCATACCTAGAAGATCCGCCTTCAGCGCAAGCTCGCTGGCTTCCGCAGTGCTTTGGATGCGCGTGCCTGCGCGTTCACACTTGTGGTAGCAAGAGCAGAGAGCTCGCTCTGAAGGCGGAGCTTCTAGTCTCAGCATAAGGGTGAACCGAGTATTGGCGGCTAGATATTTTGGAGGCGTCCTCTTAAGGTTCCTTCTTCTGACGTCATTACCTCGCGAACAACAAATTCGATGGTGTTTGTGAGTGAGCATGGTGGAAGCTTGAAATCATTTCGCCCTAAAAGCAACAACTGCCAACAGCGGCAAAATTGAAGTCCTTACACTACTTTCGTTTCCGTCGATGAGAAGTCCTTTGCTGACGTCGTAGTCAGCATTCAGCCAATCGTGGCAAGCCGACCACAGCAGCGCTTTCGATCGCTCAAGTCACCAATAGTCAACGTCCTCCGTTGAATAACGCATGCACACTCAAAGAGAACTTTTAAAATTCGCCAACCGGAAGGATGTGCCTCCAAGCGGAGGCCGCACCGCACTAAAAACGCAATGCACTTGACGTCACGTTGTTAGCCAACGGACTTTGCATGCAACGCGACAAGCGAGTTCTCCGGAATCCCTCAACGTGATGCTACTATACTGCGTTGAAGCACTACTTATCAAGCGTAGGAAAACTTACAAAGTTTTCTCGAGCGCCGTTCGGGCATAAACAAATGTGTGTAAATGAACCAATGCACTGAGCGCAAATACAGTTTTCACAAAGGCTTCTACTTTATGTGTTGCATCTATCATATTAAAATTTTATATGTGCGTTTTAGAAAAAAGTTTAGGACCAAAAAAATCCTGTATTATTTTTTATTTATTTTTTTAATGAACAGGAAGTGAAACGGAATAAACCGTTAGATCGACGGTGCTACTCCCAGACGGCACAACACAAGGCAAAAGCGTGAACGTTTCTTTGAAATGAACATCCGAAATTACATCCAGCAGTTCCGAGCGTTTGGGGTACTGTATCATCAGTGATTAGACACTTCAACTCCACAGTTTTAACCGTTTTGATTTCTGCGTTTTTAAGTTTAAGTTTAATTTTTCTGTGAATTTAGTAGTCAAATCAAAATCTTTTCAGGCTCGTGTATTTAGTGTTCGACCTAGTAGACAGTCACCTAAATATTTTATTGTTTTCAGTATTTGAAAAAACTCTGGTAAGAGCATCGGAACGAGGCACGTGACAGGCCCATGATGCACTAGTTCACTCCTGCGGTTCGTTCACATGTGCCTTGATCCGACATTGTTATTGGCACACTGGGCACTTGGCTTCCACCGTTTGCTAAGTTCCGCTGAAACAGGATATGACTGGGTTTAATTGAGCCATTGAATGTTTCCACTGTACCGCATTTCGTATAGCGTCCGCGCAGACTGCTAAATCGAGCCATTCGTTTTCGTACCGCCTCGTATCGGCCATTTTGAAATCGTGAGATAAAAAGCGCATGCAAACATTCACGCCGGACCTCTGAACTGCCGGTTTTTTTGCGAGCTGTTCGTAGGTGACAAGCGTGTTAGTTTTCGTCAGAACCCGTTATATCGTGTTGACGGTAATCGCATCTGCGGAGGACGATGAATCTGGACCATATGCTCGAAAATGCTGCCAACTGTTCGCCAACACCTCCTGGCTAGCAAAACCGTAGTGCTGAATTTTCAGCGTCACTTAGACAAGGCCAACGCGGGGCACCGATCAGACGTTCATGCTCAATCAATGAGAACACGAGTCTCAACCGAACGCTTACGCAGCACCCGCGTCCAATCCGTGCCTGCTGGCCTTCTTTAGGTGACGTCAAAAATTCAGCACTGCGGCCTCGTTACAGAGAAGATGATGTCTGAGCTCCGATCAGGTTTGGTTACAAAGAGCAGTCCTCTCGTGAAGGCGTCGATTGCAGCGTGGCGACGCTGATCTGCAACAGAGCTCGGCGCCACAAACTTCTTGGTACGGGCCACAGGATTTAATTCATACGTTGTCACGGCTCTAGTAAGCCAATCAAAGGTAAACATACCTTTTCACGCTAACTTAATCGGTCTTCGCGGTTGTATAAAGATTTCCACCGTAATTTGAGGAACCGGTACCGGAAGTGTTTCGAGATTCTTCGCAAACGTACCGAAGCCTCGTTTGTACACCGAAGAATTAGATTGCGTTCGCGTACAAAACAAATATGCACAGTTTCAAAGTTTCACCCAAAGAAATTTAACATTTGGCCCGTCTTTCTCTATCAATTATTTTTAGCTAAAAATAAAAAAACTACAACCCGAATACAAAATACAAAGGGCAGCCTAACAGAAGAAACCAAATACAAATGTTTTCGAATTTCCCTGGTTTTTACTATGAACGGCTTTTCGTCTCGCTCTAACATG